CCTATAACAAAGAACACAGACAGCACCTGGGGGCCATCTGAACAACTCCCATCTGAATCTCTTCTTTGCCTTTGGCTTTGCAAAGATGGTAAGTGTTAGGTCTTAAACCTGGGAATAATGGCCAGGGTGCCTATTTTTTTTAAATCTTTTATTTTAAAACCAATCTTTTTTCTCATTTTACATACCAATCCCAGTTCCCACTCCTTCCCCTCCTCCTTCTACCCCCTTCCTCCCCCATCCACTCTTCAGAGAGGGTAAGGCTTCCCAAGGGAAGTAAATGAATGCTAGTACCTTACTCTGAGACAGGACCAGGCCCTTCCCCTATATCTAGGCTGAGCAAGGTATCTCTCCAAAGAGAATGGGCTCCAAAAAGCCAGTTCAAACACTAGGGATAAATCTTGGTGCTACTGCCACAGAGTGCCCAAGCCACACTACTGTCACCCACATCCTGAGGGCCTAGTTTGGTCCTATGCAGGTTCCCTAGCTGTTATTCTGGAGTCAGTGAGCTCCCACTAGCTCAGGTCTGCTGATCCTGTGGCTATCCCCCAAATGATCTTGACCCCTTTGCTCATATTATCACTCCCCTCTCTCTTGACTGGACTCTGGGAGCTTGGCCCAGGGCTTAGCTGTGGATCTCTGCATCTGCTTCCATCAGTTACTGGATGAAGATTCTGTGATGATAATACAGGTAGTCATCAATCTGATTACAGGGGACGGCCAGTTTAGGCACCCTCTTCACTGATGCTTAGGGTCTTCTTAGCTGGGGATATGAAGTGCCTATTGAATATATCAAAGAGAACCTGGCACCAGGTTCTCCCAACATCCCTCAGTCCCTACCTGTTACAGGGCCCTTGAGACTGGCAGACCCTGCCCCCTACTCTGAACTTCTTCAACCCAGGGGCTTGGCTGCCCTTCCCACAGCTGCTCTTCCCTAGTAATCCAGAGAGTTTGGTTACCTGGGATCTTTTGGGCCTCCTGGCTGCTGCACCAGGCTCTCCTCTCTCCCCTTTTCCTTCCCCCTCTCCCCCTCTCCTCAAATGGCTCATGGTCATGTCCATTCTGAACTCTCCCCGATGTCCCTGCCTCTGGCCATGCTCTCCCTCATATTTATAATAAACTTTCTCTTTCACCACACCTAGGAGCAGTCATGTCTTTTCCTTTTTATTTTGTTTATTTTATTCAATAAGAATCTGTTTTGATTGGAGTTTGAGTCTCAAGGATTTGGGTTAAAGAGTTTTGTGAAATGGAAGCATAATAAAACCCTGTAGCCCTTCACCAAAATGATAGAACTTCCCACAGCAGTGCAAACACTCTGAGAACAGGGACACTCATGCCACTCTCATTTATTGATTCTCTGGGTCACCTCTCTGATGTGGAGGACAACTTGGCATGAACTGCTGTGTCATTTTTTGCTGGCTTTCCAGATTAGTGGAAGGAGACTCACAGAACCTTCAACTTTGAATTTGTGCTACCCATGGCAGCAACTGCAAGACACATGCTATTACTAAACATTTAGTGGGTGACTATTATGGCTTCTGTTTCAATTTGTTATAACGAGAACTGATCCATAGTCCATATGGTTAAGATATCTTTATTCAGATAAACACCAGCCAAACACAAGCTAGAGTGTGCCAGGGGCAGCGAGGCAGCTAGTCTAGAGAGAGCTCCCATGTGCTTTGTGGTCCCTTAAGAACCCCTCCAGAGTCATCCTGACCTCACCTTGACCACACCCTGACAGGCATGGTCAGGCACACCTGTAGCCAGCCTCTAACAGGCATGGCTTACTGTCCTCTACAATTTGGTTTAATGGATTCAAATTTTAAAAACCAAAACTGTTAAACACCACTAATTATAAATTTATTATTTTAGAAGGACTACATTATATTTTAAACTCTATTGAACTATTTAAATTCATTTATCTTAAACTAATTGAATTGATATGTGCTAAATAAAGTAGATTTTTAAAGACTAAATCAGAAAGGAATATAAAATATCCATGCTAAACCTTATAATCTGGGATAATAAATATAAATGAATTTTTTATTAAAATGAATGTCACTGATTTCTTTATACTAGTTTAATGTGGGTACTGGAAAATTTTAAATTAGCTGGAGCATGCTTAAAATCCCAGCACTTGGAAAGTTGAGATGGGAGGGCCAGGACTGCAGTGCCAGACTGGGTAACACGACATCTCATTAAAGAGGAAGGATGAGGAAGAGGAAGAGGAGAAAGAGGGCATTTGAAACTATAGATGTGGCTTTCAGGAGTCTCATAGTCTTCAGGATGAAGTAGTGAATACAAGAAAACCATTCTACAGGTGTATGAGTCACCTTTGATAGCACAAATTCAATGCCCAGATACTCCTCTCTCTCAAGGATGATGAAGTAAAAGTCAAAACAATGATACTTATTTTGGTGCCATCAGCAGTTCTGTATGAAGTGTCACTGAGAATAACAGGTAAATCTGCCTTCAGGGTGGTAGGTTTGATGGCTAAGTTGGCTGAACAAGAGAGAATCCATAATCAAATAGGGACATACTCCAGGGCCCAGACATATTCAAAAGAACTAGAGTGTGCTGGTTCAAGTGCAAGGCTTTCAGATTTGAAATCCATGGGTTCTATCAGTCAAATGTCATGAGACACTGATGATATTTGGTCAATACCAACTATTTCCAAATTAGAGAAAGTAAAATTAAAAGCTAAATGAATTAAAGTTAACTAAGGTTTTAAATGCTTCAGAATTGGCATCCAGATAAATAGCTGGCTTGGGTGGTTATAACTAGAGAGTGGTTGAAGCCATAAGCCAAGACAGTATATGAAGAAAAACCATAGTCACCATTTATAAGAACTACAAGAACTGTTACAGACTGGGGAGCAGAAAGGGTATGGGACAGGAGATTAGTGAGGTACAGGGGAAGTGAGGAGAGAGAGGGAACTTCGATTGACATGTAAAACAAGCTTGTTTCTAATTTAAATTTAAAAATAGAAAAAAAGAACTGTTGCAAATATATGAATATATGTATGTATACAACTTTTTCTTTTCTTTTTGTTTTTTGAGGAGGTTTCTCTGTGAGGTCCTGGCTGTCCTAGAACTCCCTCTGTGGACCAGACTGGCCTTGAACTCACAGAGGCACCTGCCTCTGTTTCCCAAGTGCTGGAATTAAAGGCATGTGCCACCATCACCTGGCTGAATTTGTCTCTCTCTAATGCTGTATCATTTCATCCATTTTTTTTCTATTGAAAAGAGATAATGATGCAACAGTGGTGACTCTTTTTTTCTCCTCTATATCCACAGGTAATTGGATGGGTAGACTGGCTGAAGCTGGATTGAGTAATATGTGGAATTCATGCTTGCTGTTTTATAAGGAGTTATGTGTATCTGAAATCCTAAAAATGTGTGATACACAAGCAAGCTTTATAAGCCTGTCAAAGCCCATGCCATCAGGCAATGCAAAGCTTTCTGTGGCTGTGTGTCTAGCTAATACTCGCTGGTCAGCTAACCACGCATGGCACTCTGCATGCTAGTCTTCATTTTTTCCGTCTATATTTTTTCTCATCCAGCTTTTTTAGAAATGTTATTCCAATTTCTGTCACACTGTCGCCTTTTAGTCTGTCTTGCAAGAATGTAACATCAGCAGCCAAATGAACCTAGGAGAGAAAAAAGAAAAAAACAGACTTGTGTCATTAAAAAAATAATAATTTTTTCACATTCATTTTTCCGTCTTTCCTTTTTGATAAGTAACATCTGTCTTACCAATAAAGAACCTTGGACTGTGTTTTCCAGAGATATCTTGGCCACATGTCACCAGTGTGGTGTGAGCGCTGGAGGAAGGGAGGGCAAGTGGTCTAGGAGTGGCCCAGACTTGTCTACCCGTCTCAGGAAGGATGCAAGTTCCTGACTCACAGATAGTCCTCACTCTGGGTGCTTGGCCAAGTGGAACTTCAGAGGAGAAATGGGCCCTTATAGGATTCTTCTCAAGCTGACTTGCCATAAAGCATTCTGTCATTAGCTAAACAATATAATCACTTATTCTAACGACATTTAGCTATTGCCTATGGCTTTGAGAGCTTTGAAAAATACTGACTAAATACATTATAAATATAAGATTAGCTATTGAATTACAAACATGAATATTTGATGGCTAGGCCTTCTTTTCAACTTGAAAGCATTTCCCATTTCCCAGACAATGAAGTAAGCCCAAGGGCTTACTCTCTATTCATTAAAATGTGTTCATGTAAGAGTGGAACAATATCGCTGACCTATTTTCAATAGAGTATCTGATGAGAGTTATTTTTAGTCATTGGGATAAAGAAGATAAATAAGTGAAGGTAGCTGGTAGAACATAGTAGTAAGTGAAAAACTCTTGGGTCTATCGGGCAATTAATTAATATTTATTGAACGTTACTGAGTTACCCCTCCCAGATAAAGAACTCCTAGGCAATGAGCATGGATTTTCTAAACCACAGGCCTCCAAGTGTCAGATTGTCTAGTTCATAGAGAGTATAAAGTCCTTGCTTTGTGATACCCACTGTCTTAGTTTAAACTTAAACCTTAGTTAGGGTTTCTATTGCTGTGAAGAGACATCGTGACCATGGCAATTCTTATAAAGGGAAACATTTAGTTGAGGTGATGGCTTACAGTTCAGAGGTTCAGTCTATTATCATAATGGTGGAACATGGTGGCATGCAGGCAGACATGGTGCTGGAGAAGTAACTGAGAGTCCTATATCTTGCAGGCAACAAGAAGTAGACTGTGTCACACTGAATGATGCTTGAGCAAAGGAGACCTCAAAGCCTGCCCTCACAGTTACACACTTCCTCCAACAAGTCACACCTCCTAATAGTGTCACTCCTTATAGGCTTACTTTCAAACTACCACACCCACCATCCAATGAAAGAGAGTGGACTGTACTGTGAAATACAGGGTCTATAGTTAATCTCTGAATTTTCTTCTCTGTATCTTTTATGTCTTAGAAAATATAACAGAAAATCCACTAAAGAAACATACAGACTTTGCCACAGCTCTTTGGACATTTGAGATCACATGACTTCTGACACTTGTCAGCACATATGATCAAGAATTACCTATGAAAGCTAGAGACTTCTTTATCCTATTTTTGTTTTAGTTATATGGGTACCCTTTTCAGTGTAACCTACAATTCTCCCCTTCCCTTGATATAATGCCTACTCATGCAGATCAAATATAACACAATCTAGGGTACTACATCATGAAGGATCTGCAAAGAAGATACATGCAAATATCTCCATTGTTTTATACTTTAGGGGTATCGGTTACTTTATCCCTTCCTTAACTTCCACAAATAAAATTATATGCATGGATTTTTATTGAGAAGGTCAACACGCACAGGTTTAGAAAGGTTAAGAGCTGGCTTCACCATCCTAATAGTGAAGATTCTAGAAAAACAAGACTGTTGGCTGCTGGCTATTGGCCTCTTTGTCAGCGGCTGTAGTCTCACCAGTCTGACAGGTTCTTTTTTCCCTCATCTTTCCTTCATCACAGCCTCTACCAAGACCCTCTCCAAAGTGCTGGTAAATGGGGTTAAGTTATGGAATAATCTTTTTGTGCACTGTGAAGATGTGTCTTTTCTAAGGAGCCTTCTGATTGGTTTAATAAAGAGCTGACTGGACAATAGCTAGGCAGGATTTTGGGGGCAGAGAGGATGCTGAGAAGAAGAAGAGGAGAGTCAAAGGAGTCACCAGCTACATGCAGAGGAAGCAGGAGGTGAACATGCCATGCTGAAAAAAGGTACTGCCACGTGGTAGATAGAGCACAGATAAGGAATACAGGTTAATTTAAGATGAAAGAGCTAGTTAGGAACAAGCCAAAGCTATCACCCAAGCATTTACAATTAATATGTCTCTGTGTGGTTATTTGAGAGATGGTGGTCCCAATGAAAGACTCTGTCTACAGGATTAATATGTTGTAGGGGAAATGTTAGCCACACCCTCTTGGGGGCTGGCACAGGTGACGCAGACCACCCACACTAGAGCACGGTCAGTGACATAGCAAAACCTTAAATATGAGGGTCACACGCAGGCGGCTCTCTCTGTTCCATGTTTTGTCTGGTTTAGAGGACTTATTCGTTGCATGACTACTTTCCTATTAAAACACCTGTTCGTCAAACTTGATCTAACTCCTTTGAGGTACGAATTATTTGCACCCCACTTTACTATGTTGTTGAGTGGTTCCTTAGTCTTCTTAAATACTCTGTTTCTTTGCTTCTGGAATGCCATAATTCTCTATCAGTTTCCTACTTCTGACTACTCCATGTCATTATCCTCTATAGTCTTTGGGTGCTCAGTTTGACTTCATATTTTTGTGCTGTTTCCTAGAGTTCTAATCATGTTCCCTTTCTTCCTGTTATATAGAATCTCCTTAGGTATTTCTGTCAATTCTGACACCTCCTCAGTCATATTCTGCAGGCACACATAAACACCTTGGGCAAATACCTATAATCCCAGACTGAGGCAGGAGGATCATGAATTTGAGGCCAGTCTGTGCTACATAATGAGACCTTGTCCATAAATAAATGACTAAAAACCAAACAACTTCTTTTTTGAAATCCTTACTGTGTGTTTATTAAACATCTCAACATCGGCAGGTTCAAAACTGAGCTCCTCCCCTCGTCAATTCCAACCCTTTTAGTCTTGTTCCATGGGTTAATTTTGTAACTTTCCCTACAGGTTGTTCAGAACCTGAAGGTTGTTTTTAAATTTTGTCCCTTTCAGCCAGCTGACATCTGAGTTTTACCTGTCAGGCCCTGGCAAGTACTGGCCCAGTGAGTCACCTTTTGATGACTATTGTCAGAGATGTCTTCTGTATTTTGTTTGTTTGTTTGTTTGTTTGTTGTTTGTTTGTTTTTGTTTTTCGAGACAGGGTTTCTCTGTGTAGCTTTGGAGCTTCTCCTGGCACTTGCTCTGGAGACCAGGCTGGCCTCGGACTCACAGAGATCCGCCTGCCTCAGCCTCCTGAGTGCTGGGATTAAAGGCATGCATCACCAACGCCCAGTGTCTTCTGTTTTTAGTTGAGGTCACCAGCATCAGCTTCACACTGGTTCTCCTCTCTCCCTCAGCATTCTCCCTTCCAGGTATAGCCTCATCTGACTGACAAGGAAATGGAATTTCTAGAACATAAACTTCAGACTCTCATCTCCTTGAGTATGAACCTGCATCTAGTTTGACCTTTCAACGTAAAAGACTGGATGTCCAGGCCTGTCATGCACATCCCCTCTTTTATCATTAAAGCATGTAAGACTATCATGGCAAGCCCTCTCCCTGTCTTCATGCCAGTCCTTCTGAACTAATTTGAGTTTCTGTTCTCTCATTTTGAGGGGCCTTTGAGCATTCTGATCCTCTACCTGAAATGTGATTTTTTTTTTTACCCTGCTTTCTTTACAAAGGCCTTCATCTAACTCCCACTGTCCCTTCAAAAAGCCAGCTCAGAGTTTCCTCAAGGCTGCATGGATTCTCTCTTACTCCAGGCCCTCCTCTAGGCCTTTATCACACTTCTTTGTACATGACTTCTGGAACCAGACAGATTCTCTGTGGCAGCAACTGTATCTTGTCCATCTTTGCAGCTCAGTCCCGGACACCTTACAGATGCTAATAACTGTCTCAGTTAAGTCACGGAATAACTTAGGGTGTGGAAGTCAGCCTCAAAAATGACCCACATTGACCTGCACCTCCTGTAACACATGCCCTCAGCTATTTCCTTCCCACACAGCAGCACAGTTGGCAGCTCAGACTGCCATGCTGTGATTAAATCTACTAAGAGATCTGTGGGGCAAGGAACTTTCTGAAGCTTCCACACAGTGGCCTGCAAGGTACTAAGACTGTGTGAGCATGCGTGCAGTTTGTCTAGCACCAGCAAGCCTGCAGAGGCTACAGCTGAGGCTGCATGGAATGAAGCCATGAGAGATCATCACCAGCCACATGTACATGACATACTCCTGGAGCTCTTTCTTTCTTTTTTTTTTTTTAATTAGTTAATTTGGTGTGCATGTGCTCCCACAGACACATGTACCACAGAGTGTGAATGAAAGTTACAGCTTCTAGGAGTCATCTCAGTCCTTATGCCATGTGGGCTCTACACACAATGAAGGTTACACACTGAATTCAGGTTCTACACACAATGGGGGCTCTACAGACTGAATCCAGCCTGTCAGGCTTAACAGCACAAGCTGAGCCATCTCCCAGATTTCTTTCTCTTGGGCAAAAATCCTCAGCCTTCCATTTCATTTAAAAATTTTAATATGGGACCATACTGAATTGTCCAGCATGGTGCTGAATCTGCTTTATACAGCACAAACTTGGCCTTAGATGTACAATCCTGATCCTCCTACCTTACCTCCCAAGGAGCCGAATGACAGGCTTAGAGGTAACAGGACATCCCAGAGGTCCCATCTTTAAAGACCGTACATTGCTTAGAGGCTCTTACACTTTGAGGCCAGCACTGATGGCTATCATGCATAAGAAGATGGAACATGTGCGTTACCATTTCCAAGGCCCCTCTGATGACTCCGCAGAGTAAGTTGCAGTAGCACAGTGCAGATCGTCCAGCAGGGAGCTCTTCTACGAACTCTGCCAGAGGATTCTTGTCTAGAATTAGGGAAAACTCGTTTCTGCTTGAATTGTGACAGACCACGCTCGGTGTGATTCCCAAGTACATCTTGAAGGCAACCTGATAAAGACAGAGAGTGTGACAGCCTTAGTCTGAAACAGAAGTCTATTCAGATGACCCGACCCCAGGTATCACATCATCAACTCGCCAAGTCCAGTCTGCAGCCAGGACGCTTGCAGCCACACTTCTCCTTGCAATTAACTGGTCTTATGCCATGGGAGACTCTTAAATTGTCTCTTATTCTTATAGAATATCCTAAAGTGCTAGGCTCTGTGGAAGAATATGGTTTATAAAAAACACTATTTCCAAAAACCCTTGGAGAAAACACATAGGCTTTTAGGATGGCAAAAACAAAAAGATTATCAATCAACACAGCATCATGGTATATACCACACCGATCATGGCAAAGCATACAATTCAGAGTTACAAGGGGTCTGGGGCGTATGTTCCATGATAGTAAGGCACTGGTCTGAGAAGAGGGTGCTATGGGGCAGATTAGACACAAGAATGCATTTTTGGACATACAGAATTATCATGCTGTACATACCAAGTCTTCAGGGAGGAGAAGGGGTGGTGGTGGGAGCAACATAAATACATGATAACACAATTGTCAAAAGCGTCTGCGGTGGCATAGGACTCCAAGAACCCCGAAACATAGATATGGAAGAAACCCTTAGACTCTCTCTTTCACTCCTGCCTTTTGTTTCTGTCCTTGTTTTTAAGCAGATCTTAAGCATCCAAGGGCTCACTTCTTTTTGAAACATTATTCTACATTTATCTGTTTGTTTATGTACATGTATGCGCAACACACACAGTCAAAGGACAAGGAAGAGCTGGTTACCCTGTCCCACCATTGCAGGTTCGAAGGATACAATTCAGATTCTCAGGCTTACCGGAAATCACCTTTACTTCACCGGCCATCTCACTGGCCCCGCTATTTCTTTTGAAGCTTAAGTTTCACAAATGTGTCATCTGTTATTTAGAGAAGCAAAACGGACAGCAAAGACTGTAGCTTTTTATGTCCTTGGCTCCTAACCCAAGGCAATTTCTTTTCACGAAACACCTAGGACCAGCTTTCGAAGCTTATTAATGGAAATTTGTTAGCTTGATGTGTTGCCATCATTCAAAGGCCTTAATTAACCTAATTTTAAAATTAAGAACAGTGTAAGAGAAATGGAAACAATTTTCTTAAATTATTTATAATTTGAAGTACAAAAATGTCCATTCAGTTGTTCATTGGTTCAATTAATAGGCTCTCATGGAGGACTGCCTGTCTCTCAAGTGCCTTCCAAATTCAGTAGCCACTGCATTCAAACTACTGAATGAGTTTCCAATTTACATTTGACACCGTGCTTAGACCTAAAATACAAGAGCATGGAGTGAGCTAGCATTTGGCAAGTGGAGAAAGTGGGGTGAAGAAGGGGCAGAGACACTTTAGACAGAAACGTGTCTTGGCATGAAACACGATGCTGAGGTGCAGGAAGGTCTAGATCTACCCACTGGTGGGCAGTTGGGAGGCCAGAAGACATCCTGATGCAGACTCCACACCTGCGATAGGAATCAAGAAGTTACATGAAGAGAAATGAGGGCTCTTCTTTTTCTCTAAAAGTTTTCTCTCAAAGAGAAGTTTCTGTACTTCTCTTATATATTCCAATGATCCCCATCCTAAACGGTGTTTCAAGTCTTTATGCATGCCCTTTTAGGAAGCCAGAATCTCGTCTTCCAAATCTTAGGGCATAGAGTAAGCGAAGAAACTTCTCATGAAATGCTGGATTTGGAAACTGGATTTGGCTACCACTCAGTGGCTGAAATCCATGTCTGTTAGAGCTGAGCCCCCTACCCCACTGAAAGTTTTCTATACAATAATTTGTGTGAGAACTTTCAATTTGTAATCAAAAGCACTTGGGAAGAGTATGAAAAGGAACCTGTGCACTTTGCATTTAATCGTCGGTGTTTTGGCTACCCACAAGTGTCAGCATTCACCAGTAGGAGGCATTATCTGAACGTTGTTGGGAAATAAGCATTCCTGGGGAATGACATTGTTTCCTTATCTGGCTGGATGCAGACAGAGGAGGACTGTTGTTTCAAGAGAGCTCCACCCTCTACAGCCACAGCCACAGTTGCTGTGTGGCAACCAAGGCAAACGTTTCTCCCTCTTCGTGTGTCTCCATCATGGATGCTTTTCAGAGCATTTTAAAATTCTTTCTTAACCAAAGAACTGCTATTGGCTACAGCTTCATGGCTTTGCTGACCGTGGGAAGTGAACGTCTCTTCTCACTCGTGGCCTTTAAGTGCCCTTGCAGCGCTGAGAATACAGCCTATGGGCTGGTTTTTCTCTTCGCCCCTGCCTGGGTGTTACTGATCCTTGGATTCTTTCTGAATAACAAGGCATGGAGACTCTTCACTGGCTGCTGTATAAACCCCAGGAAAATCTTCCGTAGGAGACGCTGCTGCCGCTTCTTCTACGTCCTGGGCCACATCACACTGAGTTCATTGGTGGCTCCAGTGATGTGGCTCTCTGTGGCTTTGCTTAATGGGACGTTTTATGAATGTGCTATGAGTGGGACAAGAAGCACCAGGCTTTTGGAGCTGATTTGCAGGGGCAAGCCCAAAGAGTGCTGGGAAGAGCTGTACAAAGTCTCCTGTGGCAGAAGTAGCATGGCACCCACCGACAATGAGGAGGTGAAGCTGTCCCTGCAGGCCCAGTCTCAGGTAAGGACAAATGTGATTCTCCCCTCCCAGTGTGAGCTTGGAAATTCCTCTCTGTCTTCCTGTCAGCCAGGCCAGAGTCTGAGTCTTGCCAGAATATTTTGACACTAAGTGGAAATTGGAACACGATGTAGCATTAAGACAATCTCAGGAAAAGCTTTTTAGGGACAGGATGGCTCAGTAAAATTGCTGATTGGATCGTGTAGTCTCCATTTCCAAAAAGAAAATACCCACTGGGTTATGCATATGTAAATACTTAAGTGCTCAAAACCATCTCCCTGGGTTGACTTTGTAAATAATGCAGAACGCAAAGCCACCAAAACCAAACACTGTATGCTAACCCTGAGCTGTAATTAAGCATCACTGCCCTTCTATCGATTGTTTAGTTTCAAGCTGGCTTCTCACAAAACACAGATACATCTTCTTCATCCACCAAAATACAGATGAACCAAATCAGCTACTACTTTTCAAAGTAGCATGTGGTGCAATGAGTGTGGGATTTCCTTGAGGGACCGCTGTGGCCGTTAGTACTTGTGTGCATACATGCTGTCGGGATCGAGAGTTTCCCAAATGCAGTGGAACTGAGAAGTATTTAAATGGCCCTTGGTGAAGAGTGACCATCTTCCCTAGAGAGATTATGACTTTTACTCTTTTACTCTCTGTGCTGTACAACTAAAGAAGTTTTCACCACACTTTAGAAGCTCAGAATCTGGGGCATTGTTTTTCTTGAGAGAAGTAATTTACAGCTTCAACTAACCAATACAAGGAGGCATCTTACATAGGTCTTCATGCATAGCCTTGGCCTGGCCTTGAGATGAAGTTGGTTTCTTATTTCTGAGGCAAAAAAAAAAGCAGTAGGAGTAGATAACCAGAGTCATCATTTCTCAGGAAGACTGTTGGTTTCTGGATGAAGACACATGCGCACTGTAATTTTACCTTTTTAGCAAGGACTTCCTTTACAACAAACACAACAAAGCAAAGTCAGCTCCTACAGTCTAAAATTATTGGTAATAAAATCATATTCTTTGTAAACTAATAAGCCAAAGAATGCGTCTAAATAAACTCCTTTGTTTAATGCACAAAGCATAGGTTAGACAGGACATGTCAGGCTCCTGAGTGCCTTCCATCTTTTGTTGAAGGAAGCTATTAATTACTGATGTTATGATAGTGTGAATGACACATGGTTACCTCCGCAGGCTCCAGGCTCCATTCAGCCAGTGCCAACTCCAAACACTCATCACTGTGTAAACTCTTCTTTAAATATAAGCCCTAAGAAAATAGGCACATCTGGTTATACCTTGGATTGTCCACTGTGACCTTTTGACTTTTCAGCGGAATAAGGACTTGGGGTTGAGGCCTGCAGGAGGATGCCAGAGAGACGTGGATGAGGGGAGATGTAGCAATAGCAGGTGCTGACCATGAGGTTCAGATGGCAGCAGGCATCACATGGTCCAAAACAATAATTGGGCATGTGGGTGGAGGTGGAAAAGTGCCTTCATTCATGGGTGGGGTAGAGCAATGAGAAACACAGCTGGGTGACTCTCTGTTCTTAAGGACGGTGGAATGGACTAGTGGAAAGAGCTCAGCCCTGGAGTCAGCTGGTTTTGAATGCTGCCACTCCCCAAGCTCTGTGATATAGAACACTGAACCCCAGTTTTCTCACAGTGGAGGATCTCACGGTGGGAGATGGCGACACCTACTGTGGAAAGTTATTTAGAGATAATGGACATAAAGAGGCCTAAAGCTTCTAGAACATTATTAAGTATTCCAAGGTAAGGAAAAGACTGGCAGGATTCGGGGAAAGAGACCGATAAGATACAACTAGGGGCTGAGCCGGACACAATCACCACATTCTAGTTGGAGTTCTAGGTGCTGTGAGTCTGGGAGGAAGACTCAGTAGTTGGGTGAGAGACGGCTCAATGCTGAGATTGTACATAAAACAACAGAGGATCTGAAGCTGATCAAACAGTTTTTAACTCATCAGGATTAGCTCAGGTTGGAGTGGGTAGCTTCTACACAGGAGGCCCAGTCACGAGGAAGAAGAAGGGATGCTGAAAGAAAGATCTGAGGGAGTGAACCACAAGCCCACCGGTGACTGAAGGAGAACAGGAGGACTCTGACACGGTAGTGACTGTGCCTCACTTCTTATCCCAGAACAGAAAGAGACACTTGCAAACAGGTGGATAACAGGTGGAACGCATGAGCTTCTTGCCCAGCATCATTTCTTTGGGTTTCTCCAAATATCTTCTGAGATGAGTAACTGTAATTTCACGATAGAGACCGAGGTACAGAGAACACCCATGGTAAGAAGAAAGGTAGATGTTCATCCTGAGGAATGCCAACTCAGAAATGGCACTTATGTAGGCTGAGACCCTTCCCGTAACCCCACTTCTGATGCAGAGTTTGGCAACCACTCAGTTAAAGCTAATTTTGGCTCTCTTAGGATCTGAGTGGACCCATTTGCAGATTGTTGTTTTTGTTCTCACTGGGGCCCATCTGCTAAGGATCCTCTAAACTGAAATGAAGAGATGCTTTCAAGAAATCTGTTAGTTGCTCAAATCTAAAATTAATTCAAATTATGAAAAGTTAAATCAGAGCAACAAATTTAGATGTGTTAACTATAGACTTTTGCTTTTAAAGTTAAACCCCAATAGGATCATTCATATGTAGAAAAGAGTTTGCTTTTCCTAATTTTAGAAAGTAAGAACAAATAATTCTCAAAGTTGGAAATGACCCTCTCCCTGTTTTCTCTCTCTCAACATTTAGAAAGGCTTTAAATTCTTAACGTTTCTGTGCATTACTGTATTATGTCTTTTTTTTTCTTTACTGTGAGCAATAAATTTGGGGATCCATAGAGTGGCTACAGCTCTCTACACACAAAGTCCCATGGGAAAGCTTGGTCAGGAGCCTGTGAGTGCACTGCTGAATGCCTGGACACCTGGCTAACAAGCCACTCATTCATTCAAATGACCACCATGATCCATTAGAAAGAATTCTCTCATCCATGGCCATACTACCTTGAATGCACCTGATCTCGTCTGATCTCTGAAGCTAAGCAGGGTCAGGCCTGGTCAGTACTTGGATGGGAGAAAGAATTCTTTCTTCTAGTAATACCATTGGAAGTACTTTTGTAGTAAGTTGTTGGATAGTCACTCTTTGCATTTGTCAGCCTTCTGGTTATTGCTTTGCATAGCAACAATGTTAAGTGGGGGAGTGGATATTGAGACAACTTTATTTTGGATGTTAAAAACTATTTAAAGTTAAGATGAACCATTTCAAATGAGATGGTAGTAATGACTGTGGTATTAATGTGGTTATATACTCTCTCGTAATATTTCCCAGCTCTCTGAGATGCCATTTTGCATTTCTGTGTCCTCAATATCTCTTTTTCCCTAAGATTCTAGGGTGGTGCCTGATTTGTTCAGCATCCTTTTTCTCTCTGCTGACCACTTGCTACGCACGCTGCAAATCTAAAGTCAGCTATCTGCAGCTGAGTTTTTGGAAGACATATGCACAAAGGGAGAAGGAACAATTGGAAAACAAACTCCTGGAGTGTGCCAACAAGCTGAGTGAGAGGAACCTGAAGTGCTTTTTTGAAAACAAGAAGCCGGATCCCTTTCCCATGCCATCTTTTGCTGCCTGGGAGGCTGCTTCTGAACTACATTCATTCTACCACGACCGTGAATACTACAGCGCTCTCCACAAGGTGATAGACAATGGTCTGGAACAAACCCCCCAAGAGGAAGAGACAGAAATGATCCTTGTGGGCAGTGCCCAGAGTCTGTGAATCAACCAACATCACAGTGGGCTCAGGTGTTCAGTGGTACACTCATTCTGATAGTTTCTTGCTGTCTCCACAACAACCTGAGCATCTGTTTTCTCACCATCATAGCCTCTTTAGAAGACGATCACACAGTGAGAAACTGTTTTAAGCCTTTGAGTGCAGTGTTCAGATGTGCCCACACTGAGGCTGAGTGAGGACAAAAACACTCTGAGTTGTTGGAGGCTTGGGTCCAGGAGGTCCAAGAGTTACTCCTTCTAAGCTCTAGGATTTTATGACTCAGTTCCCAGACTCTGATGAGGTGTCTGCCACTTTTTGCAAGTATCTGCTGTGGTATTGGGGGAGGGGTCTGTGCACAGTGACATCTACAGAGTGGCCGGCAGGAAACCGGTTCACAAATATATCCAACATCTTTCAAAATGGAAGGAATTCTAACATTTAACATTCCTTTACTCGGAAGAACTCCATTCTCAAAAATTGCCAACTGAAAGAATAGCACGTCTAAAAATCAGGGGTTCCCCCATTCCCCCAAATCCTGAAGGTCTGTTTCTGAGAACAGGGCTGCCTCATGATTGCTATATGCTGAAGGTGCTTATGCCTTCACAGGCCAATTTCTACATTCTAAAGAACAATCATGCAAGACCCACATGCAAGCCTACATTTATATAAAGACAAACACATTAATATTGTATGTTAAAACATGTTTCTCAATTAAAAATTCCTTTTTTTCTGGTTTTGAAGCAGAAAATCACTTTCATGGACTCCCTACTAAAATGCCGGGTCCAGGCATAGTGCCATCTATATATTGGGTATGTCTTAGTTTCTCTAGGCTACTATAACCAAATGCCACAGATGATGTGGCTTGTAAACAATAGTTCTTACAATTTGAGAGGCTGAAACTTCTGAGGTCAGGGTAGCAGCACAGGCAGGGCCTAGTGAGGTGTTTTCTTTGGGTCACTGACTGTTGATGTCCCATTGTGAGTCACATGGGGAGAAGGGCAAATAAACTCCCTAGGACATCTTTTCTGAGGGAGCTGCACTCTCATCGAATGACCCTCAAAAGGCCCCCTCGTAATGACATTACCTTTGAGGTCTTGTTTCAGTATAAGAATTTTAGCTGGGCAGTGGTGGCACATGAAGAGGCCAGCCCGGTCTACAGAGTGAGTTCCAGAACATCCAGGACTATTTTAGGGAGAAACCCTACCTCAAAAAATCAAACGAAAAACGTAGAATGTTGGTAATGGCTTGATCTAGGTATTTGGAGACTGTCCACAGTAGTCCTAGCATAAAATTGTGTTGTTAGTGTATACTTATCAGAAATAATGTGAGTGTTACTCTCTACTATGTACCTTTTACCAAGTATTGTGTGTGTCCGTGTCTGTCTGTTGGTGTACATGTGTGTAAATTCCCATAAATCTCTGGGTGGATTAGTGCGTAAGGCACAGTATCTACATTTGTCGCTAGCTCACACCTTAGGTCACTAGCTCTCTGTATCCCCAGATTTAAGAAAATTCATCTAAGGTTTTCACTAACTTAAAATTGATGAGAGACTGCAGGAGAATTGTATAAGTCCAAGACCTCCAGAAACCCTTAAGATTGTGATTTATAATGAGAAATAGGTTTTGCCGTCATGTCTCTCCTTGATACAAAGGAGAGAACCCTTGGATTCTTACCATGTGTCCTTTTTCTAATGAGGTGACTCCTAAACAGCTAAAGATGGGCCTGGTTGCCAGAAACAACCATGTGACTAACAAGTTTGAAACTTTCAGCCTCATCCTCTGACCTCCAGAGAGTAGACAGGGGCTGTTGAATGAATCCTGGCAGAAATATCCAGCCTTTTTATCACCACAACATGAATCTGTCATCTACAAAGTTTATGTTCCAAAACTGCCTGGACAATCAGAGGACACACACGCCACTCATATACACACATGCTACACACACTCATATAGACACACACACACAAACACACACACACCACACCACTCATACCCCCCACACACATATACAAACACACCACACACACTCATGCAGACACACACACCACACACACAACTCATACCCCCACACATATACACGTGTATATACACACATACATACACAGTCATACATAAACACTCCACCTACACACTCATAAACACTCAAACATACATGTATATACACTTACACACATACACATACACATACACACACATACCAAATATAATGGAAAAATCCAAACAGGTAACGAGTACAGTGCTTTCCTGAGTCGTGTGGACTACTCTGGCGAATAAACCAATGTGAAGAATCACAGCACCTCTAACTGCTAGCTGCCCCCAGCGAAAGTTGTAAGTAGCATGGGAGTCTGCAGCTAGTGAATGGCATTCAAAGTCACTCATCCAAATGGCATGCAAAGTCAGGGAAAATTCTTGGGAAATTAGCTCTAAACCTGCATGGGGCACGTGCTTAACTCCAATTAGTGTCAGAAATCATTTGAATTGTAGGACACTCCCTTTTCATTGGAGAATTTCTCAGTATGAGAGAAACGCACACTTTTGTTGGCCAGGAGTGTTAATACAGAAATATATATAAAACACTGTCCTTCCATTTTCAAGGGAGCTGCATTGGGAGTGTGTGTTGGATATGGGGATACAGAGATTATGGATGAGATAAGGCAGAGGTGTCAAAATAAGGATAAATAAACCACTAAAAAAAAAATGAGTGACTCTCCTTAGCCCTTCTTGACTAGGTGTTTGCCCACTACTAAGTGTCTACTGAGACTCCAAAAGTAGATGGGACTCAGTCAATAGCCATGCGTCTCTTGGTTTGGGCCAAAGGTGGAGGCAGCAGTTGTACAAAAATAGCTTAGTGAGGAGAAATCACTGGGGCACATCTCTGCCACTCTCTACCTCAGAGCATTCCTGTATTCAAGACATCCAGAATTATGGATGCCTCATTCAAGGATATGCAGGCCGACAAGCCAGCACCCTGTACTTTTTGCTTAGTCAGTAGAAGAGCTGACCCTCCTACTCTGACCAAGTCACCGTGAGATGAGTCAGGTCTTCTTTCCTAACTCCAGGTCTGATTCCTGTAGAGTGGTATTTTGTGCAGGAGGTAAACAAGTTCAAGACACCTTATCTGTTCCCTCAACAGCCTTCGAGGGGGTGGGTGGAGACAGGGAGAGCAAACGGGTATCTGCTCTTTAATGTTCAGAGGGTGGGGGGTCTCCAGAGGTGGGGAGACAAAATGGTCTTAGAGGTGTAGAGAACTTCAGAAGTGGGAGCAGTTTGTATCATAAATGAAGTTCCCTAGAAAGAACCGCAAACTTAGGGAACATGTATGAATGACTTTCCAAAAAGAACCGGCTCAGGAAAGAGCCACTAGCACAATAGATGCAAGTAGATGGGGTTTCAGGTCAGCCCTACCAATCCTTTAGCAAATGCTGGGGCTTCTGCCTTGGCTCCAAAGGCTTCAGATGAGGCTGTGAGCTCTTCAAGTAAGAGAGCCCTTTTCCAGTACCAGGAAAAAAAATTCCCAAGCAAGGAGCAACCAACAATGGCCCAGGGTGACTTTCCAGGGAAGTTTATACAGGAACAACTGGGAGATCATCACCCTGTAATTAGGTACTGCAAGTGGCAGCAGTGTCCCCTATGTCTGCTGTGAAGCTTTCCTTTAGACTTAGAAATGATGCGGATAGACGACATCCCAGGACCCACCCAAGCCCAGGCTCACTGCCTCTTCCAGCTTCTAATTTCCCTGAAGCCACAGCAACAAATGTGGAAAGTCGCCTCTCCTGCCACAGCTGCTCTAGATAGGGCACTCTGGGAAAGGATGTGATGCCTTCCCAAACAAGGGATCAATGTAAGACAATTCAAAGATGCTTGACTTTCTTTTGTCTAATTTAATTATCCCATGAAAAACTAATCACAAATATGTAAGGTTTCTGGTGCATTCCTAGCTTTCTGTTCAGACTCAATTAATAAGCCTCATAGTTTTAGGGTGTACCCATATTATTTATTTCTAATGGAAATGGAAAAAACTACTTAGCAAAAATTACTAAATAAGTCTTGATAGACAAAGATTTTCATATATTACACCCTTAGATTGAATATTTTGCATATTTTATATGTTCTCAAACTATGTTTTTAAAAGTATACACTATTTTTTCTCTTTTTTGTATTTTTGTTTGTTTGTTTGAGATGTCCTGGAACTCACCCTGTAGACCAGGCTGGCTTCGAACACACAGAGCTACCTCTGCTTTCTGAGTCCTGGGATTAAAGGCATGGGCCACCACCGCCCTGCCACTATTTTCTTCTTATACATGTAAAGCACTACTTAGTGTGTATGCATCTAGTAGGAAACTGATGAAGCTATCCACTTGAAATGTGGCACAATAGTTCAAAGCCCAATGATCAGTGGTTTACCATAAATACTGGTTAAAACTCTAGGAGTCACCAGATGGCAGAAAAATCATACCTTTCCTCCCATGGGTCATTTCAGATATTTCAACTACTAACTGTAATTAACTTTTTGTCACTACAACGAATACTTAAGACAGCTTCCAAAAGGATAAGGTATGTCTTGGCTCATAGTATTCCGAGTTAGCATTCATGACAGACCTGTCCCACTTCAGGCATGTGGCAGGGTAGCTTGTGAAGCATAACAAAGCCACTCACCTCAGGAAGCATTGGGAATGAAAGTAATGGGCTGTGCCCCCCATTCCCACTCAGGGTGTGCCTTATATAACCTAAAGTCCTTCTGCTATGCCTCACCTGTTGCCAACACCACCTCCAAACTGTGAAAGAGTGGAGATCAAACCATTCCTGGACCTTTGAATGAAACACAGATGATGACATAGTGGCCTTATCGTACTCAGATTTTTGTGTTCCTGAATTCTCTAAGACAGGTTTCTTAATTTCCCTCTTTGTCTTCTGTTATACAGGCTAGAAGATATTTAGTTTCTTTGTGGGTGAGACTAGGATCTGCCTCTTTTACAATTCCAAAGTCATTAAGAAAAAGCATTAAGGCTGGATCTGAAGCCCTGTTTGTTAGTGTAACTCAATTTTGCCCGTACTTTGTAATAATCTGAGGCTTTGAAAATCTCAGTGTCTGGCCCATGCCACATATCCTGATGTATTTTTTATTCTTGGAACAAGACCAAGAATGTGGGTTTTGAAAAGTACCCACACAATTGTTTCCAGGGAACTCATGGTAATGATTGGGACATGTAATTGTGATACTTGCAATACTATCTAGTTTTCGAATAGTGACTTATGACCAGACCTTGTGTCTCCAGATAGGGGAAAAGCCCTAATTAGAAATATTTGACAATGTCCATTGATGCAATTTTAAGTTGCCAATGTAATACCATTAAATGAATAGGTAAGAAGAAATAATAACTGTGTTTGTTTGTTTGTTTGTTTGTTTGTTTGTTTGTGACATGTAGCCTAGATGGCATTGAACTCACTATGTCACCAGGTAACCAAAGTTTACCTTGAACCTCTGATTTCCTTGCCTCCACCTTCTGAGTTCTGGGTTGCAGACCTATACCACCATACCTAGTTTTGTTTTGTTTCTTGGAGGTACATAGTTCTAGCCAGTTCAATTTTAGACCGGTTTTGGCACACTTGGGCCTCAGTTTTACAAAATCTAATATCTGCGTGTTAACCAGGGTTTTTCAGTGAAACAGAATCAACAGCATCTGTATGCATACATATAGATGTATGAGAAGGCATTTGCTGTGGCAATTAGTTTACACAGTTATGGAGGCTGGAGAGTCTCACAGCAGTCCATTTTCAAGCGAGAGAATTAGGGAAGTGGGTAATATGGTTTGTGCAAGTCCAAAAGACCTGGGAAACAGAGAAGCTGATGTTAAAACTCAGTTTGAGGTCAAGGGACAGAGAACCCGGAGGTCTGGTGTTAAAGGACAGGAGATGGATGTACCAGCTCTTCAGGAAGAATGGAAAGAATAGAGTGGGTAATGAAGACAAGGACAGAAGGCAATGAGGAGGTATTGACAGTAAGCTAATTAAGGGGAGAGTTAGAGAAAAATGCAAATATATCACTCATCTGTCTTTTTTTGTATTTTCCAAGCCATTAGTGGATTGGATGGGGCTCACTTGCACTAGGTGAGGGAGGACTTCTATATCCAGTCTGCTAGTTCTATCCAGAAACATGTTCATAGACGTACTCCAAATTAAGGATTTATCAAATGGCTATTAGTCTACTCAGGTTGACATCCAAAATTAACCATCACACATGGTAAATGAAATAGTATTAATAACTCCAGATGAAAGATGGAACCCCTTGATCTTCACACTAAGGTCCCTCCTCAGACCTAAGCAAGCAAGCAACAACAAAAATACAAGAGAATATGATAGCTGGATCAATACAAGGTGTTGCAGCTTGTTTTTGATCTTTTGCAGTCTCCAACGATCTGCTAAAATCAGCCACCATGTACAAAGTCCAAGTTAGACAAGTAGAGAGAAATTAACAGAGGGAGAGGAGAATGTGGATTAGATGAGGGCAAGAGAGAAGGAACCTAACAGACCCATTTGTTCCAGTCATTGTAAATCAGCAGGTAAGCCAGGGAGTGGAGACCTTTTGGAAAGTCAGGTCCTAATATAGCAGACATGGCATGAAAAAGAACCAGAAAGCTTTGAAAGGTCCTCGATGTAAGACCCTCACCAAACCAGTACAAGCCATTCCTGCACATTTGAGTTAACCCATATGGGGCTGTTACCTGTTCAGATTTCTGACCCAGGAAAAGCATATGAGCAAATAAATACTTACTGTGTTAAATGACCAAATTTGAGGGCAACATGAAACAATACATAGCATGAACTAAAAAAAACTACCCACAAAAATTTAATTTATACAAATATCCTCTCCTACTTTTCCCTTGACATTCTCTTCCTTAGGTTCCAAGAAGTACCATAACCCATGAGTCACGATTGAATAAACATAAATTAGTGCCTCTCCAAAAAATCTCCACCTAGGCTTGAAACACA